GGAATATCAACTAAGCGTATTTCACATTTTCAGAAATCATGGGAATACCTCCACTGCCACATTGATGTCGAAAAACTGTTGTTATGTAGAGGGGAATAGCTGCACCAGCATATAAGCCAGTTCCACGAATCTGATGCCTGCCAACTCTTAAGTTTTTCTTTATCTTGTGTTTCACAGATGCTGGCCCAAGTTCACCTGCTGACCACTTGAGGGAGGTATTCTACAGAATGGGCCTTGATGACAAGGTGTGCAGATCACGACACTTAACCCATTTCAACATGTGTGTCTAATTGACTTTGTTGAGCTGTTTGGAATTCTAATCATGTGTTTGTAGGAAATTGTTGCCTTGTCTGGAGCACATACACTTGGAAGGTCCAGGCCTGAACGGAGTGGCTGGGGGAAACCAGAAACAAAATATACTGTATGTTCTTATCTTCTTTATGTGAGGTGCAAAGCAGGAACATCAGTTATTCTTTTCTGCAGGAAGTCTGTTTTGAGCATGATTTGTTCCATCCAGTGTGTCTTGATCAAGGATTGCATTGCATTTATGTTTTTGCAATAAGAGGAACATTGCAATTTCTTAATGCTTTGGTACATTGCGCCCGCACAGCTCCAAGAATTGTCTTTAACCTTTCTGGGATGCTTTTGTGCAATCTTTATGTACCGGCTAACTGGCTAAGCTCTGTGCATCATGTATTGTCTCTTCGTCTTCTTAATTCGCTCACTGGATTTATAGATAAATCCTCTCCAGACCATTGATGTTACCTTGGAACATTAAAGTCAAATGTGCTGCATTGTGTATGTGAATAAACTGGGCTTGTCTTGTTAATCTTGTGAGTTCATCTACCATGTCTTGTTACTCTTTACAGAAAAATGGTCCAGGTGCACCTGGTGGGCAATCATGGACAGTTGAGTGGCTGAGATTTGATAACAGTTACTTCAAAGTATGTGCCTTTTGCCACATATTACATGCTGAAAAATCGATCCGTGTTCATCATCTCTAATCTGGTAGCAATACTCCAGGATATCAAAGAGAAACGAGATCAGGATCTTCTGGTCCTACCTACAGATGCTGCTTTGTTTGAGGACCCAAAGTTCAAGGTGATCTGATGATCAACTGTATGATGTTGGTATCCTATGAAATTAATCGTTGAGCTTACTGTATGAGAATCCACAACACAACCAGGTCTATGCGGAGAAATATGCAGAGGACCAAGACGCATTCTTCAGAGACTACGCCGAGGCTCATGCTAAACTGAGCAATCTGGGTGCGAAGTTCCAACCGCCGCAGGTTAGTGTTAACATTTTTGTCCTCAGTTTTCCTACAAGCACACTTTGCTCTTCATTAAAATGGCAATTTAATTGGTTCCGGGTAGGAGACTAGCTGCTCAAAACCATTGTTGATTTTCTTTTCCTCAAACAAGTTGGGCCAACCTTGTCGTCCTTTTTAATATTGATTATGCAGGGATTCTCTTTGGATGATTAGTGCAGCACCAGAGCCACAGTCGGCAAAACAGGAAAACGCTGTCCTTGAAAAGGTGTATATTCCTCCTGCTTCCATCTCTAAACTCACTTCAGTTCCATATGGGGCTTGACAAAATAGCGAAATGAGTTTAGCTTTCTATTTCTACAAAGATAAATCACCCCACTACTGCCCCTTGCAGGATCAAGAGGAAACGTAGCCCTGTTCGCTTGTCTTATAATCCGTACTTTTCAACTTGTTTTTTCTCTCGTAACAAATCAGGCTGAACAGTGTTTCGGCTTGTTTTTTCAGCGAAGCGAATGGTTATCGTCGTACAAGATGGACTGGTCCCTGGCTTTTCATGATGCTATATGGAGTCTTCCAATTTAGCTAGATTTTTGAACCGAGCTTGCAAATAAAAGAACTGACACAGTGACACTACATAAATTTCAGAGCCATTGTGAGAACTGGGAAAAGATTGTGCTATCAGATTTGGTTTTATATTATCCCTTTCATTCACATGACGCTCTGCGCTGCCGTCAATTTTCTGCTATTAGCACCATGGTTGGTTCCTCTTTGGTTGCTATAGCTTGTTGCCTCCCTCCTGCTGCGCTTAGGCTTTATCCATTGGCCATAGCGGATCTGCAGCACTTTAAAAACTCTCTGGGGTCTCGACCCTACCTCTGGGGTAGCTGGTCCGAGTGCTTCCCACGCCTTGTTTAGCCTCCAAATAAGTTTTTTCACTCTCTTTCCATCACATCAATTTTTAGACGTATGTATGGAGCATTAAATGTAGGTAAAAAAAATAATTAATTGCACAGTTTGATTGTAAATCACGAGACGAATCTTTTAAGTCTAGTTAGTCTATGATCGGATAAAGTTTATCAAATACAAACAAAATGTGCTACAGTGTCCAGATTATAAAAATTTACAATCTAAACAAGGCCCCAGCACAACACAGCCAGGAGTAATTTTTCATCTGGCCATGCTCCCGGATTTGTCGTCACAGGCAGAGGGGGAATCTTTAAAGCAGTAGATGGGCCACTTGGCCATGGACCCCCGGTTCACCAACTCGTGCCGCGACCTGGATTTGTAATTTTTGTATCTCTCGTTTGGACCGTCTGGCTGGTGGGCGCCCACCACTTTAGGAGAGAACAGGGCTGGCTGGACAGTGAGACATCTCGGACATAGATGTTTTTTTTTTTGACAACAGGACATAGATGTTGATGATAGGCCACGGCGACGAGCGCGGCATTAACCCTGATCAGCGTCACGTGCACGCCACGTGCCGGGCACCAGCGGCCCGTTCTGTGGCGCAAGCGCAACTAGCCAAATTACAAACTTCAAAGAGCCCGCAGAGGTCTGCGTCTGGTCACTTTACCGGTGATCGTAGTGTCAATTACCCTGCCTTCCCGCCCAAACGCACAACTACTTTTTTCTCATTTTCTTTCTTATTCCTTCGGCATTTTTCGTTCTTGTGTGCATGTTTCCTGTACTCGGGCAGTCCCAATCTAAAGCTTAAAATGGCCTCTATGTCTGCTAATTAAGATGTGTTAACTAAACAAATAGTGATATGGTATTGGAATTCAGAAAGAGAGATAAGTAAATATCTTTTTATACAAGAAACTATGGCTATACAAAACAAAGATAGAAAGAGTGTGATAGGTTGATGATAGGAAAGAGAAGACATGTGATTAGAGAAAATGTATTTCCAAGAAACCATCCATTAGAAATGTCATGTATTTGTGAAGTATATATATGACGTGGCAAGTATGAAAAATATCTCATAGTTTTTCTACGCGGTTAGATATACGTTATGTTTAGATACATAATAAAAATTATGTATCTAGAAAAATCAGAATGACTTACGATTTGGACGGTGTACAATAATCACTAGCTCAATGCAACACATATACCAATACAACAACACACAACCCTTAGTTATGAACCATAGGACAATAATTGGTTGCTAACTAAGTTTGATGCATATTCTTGCCTAAGGTTATAAACATCGTCTTGCCTAGCCAGGATAAGCTAAGCTAGGCTATCAAAACAAGGAAAGAAAGGCCCCAAGCGTTTGGTCTGCTTGTTTCGTACAGTAGTGTAGAAGTTTCTACCTTCGATTCACCGTTACTCTTCGATTCCTCTTTTAAGCGTTGAGTTGGCAAAGAATCTTGACAGGTGTGGAAGAGCTGATTTGACTCGCCCCACCGAGCAAGGCAAACCTTGCCGAGACAAGCAAGATTGCTGAGCAAAGCGAGGTTCTTGCTTGCTACCAAACAAATAGCCATGCCAAGCCAGGCTACACAGTAGTAAGAAAAGATACTAAACAAACCCTAAGGTTAGTCTTGCAACACTTGTGCAGCGAGGGAAATTGATAGCCTAGCCTTAAACAAAATTAGACAAGAAAGTGTATTTTATTTATGATAAATGGAGCAATTGGCAAAGTCAGGATTGCCTAGGAAAACTGTGGTTGCCAAATTAGTCTTGGTAACTTAGACTATAGTCTAAATTGGCTCTAAATTCTAATTGTGTGTGTTCATTCACCTGATTTTAGTCAACTTTTCTTCTACCCTCACCTTTCATTTTCTTCCTCCTTTTGCCATGGAGTTGTCTATCCAACAACCGAGTTTCAAGCAGCCGATTTTTTCCACTATTCTTCTTCCTCCTCACCCCCGGCACCGCCCCGCCCCATCGCGGCCTCCTCCTTCCCCTCCCCCTCCTTCTTCTGCGGCGAGCTCCGGCCATGGGTGCACTCGCCCTGACCTGGTCCGGCCGCCTCCACACTGCCAGGACCCAAACGCTAGTCTCCTGCCGTCCCCACCGCGTGGCCGGCCTGCCTCCCCTGATTTCTCCTTTTAAGGCCGCTAGATTTGGAGAGGGAGAGGGAGAGAGTCGCCAAATTTGGAGAAAGAATGAAAGGGAGATGAATCAAGTGTTAAGAGGGAGAGGTTGTTTAGCATTTCTCTTTGCTATTTGCTTTTATTTTGCACTTCCCCGTGGCAGTTCAAACTTCAAACCAGTTTTGCCCAAGTACGGAGTGAGTACTCGCCTTGCAGGCCCCGAACCGGCGAACCCGATCACCCCCGTGGGGGTTGTTCGGCTACTCCACTATTTGACTTATTTTGGATGATTTCAGATGATTGAATAGTGTTCAAATGATTGAATAGTGTTCTGATAAGCTGAAATAAGATGAGAGTAGAGCGCATTTACAACAAAACAGTGCTCAGCAAGTCACTGACAAAAAGGCCGCGGTGAGCTCACCACCGGTGTTCCAAAAACCCAGAAAACTTCAGAGCTTTTGCCCAAAAACACCAAAAAGGCGGCACCCGGCGCCTCGGAGGAAGACGACGACGACCCTCCAAAGCAACCCACGAGCTCCCCCACTCCTCCCCCACGAGCTCGTGCTCGCTTCCTCCCCCAAAACCCTAGTCCCCCGCCCCAAGTCCGGCTGCGCTCCCAATCTCCACCGCCGCGGCGCGGCAATGTCGTCGTCGAGGCCGACGCGCTCCAGTATCTCCCCATTCCGATCCCGCCGCTAGGCTCCGGCAGCGTCGGCAGCGGGACCTCCTCCTCCGGCGAGGACCTCATCTGGAGGACGCCCGTCCACCCCCTCCTCTACCGCCTCTGCGCGACCCACCACCCCCTCGTCCTCCGGTGGCCGCCCCGCTACCCCGTCGGACGCGTTCGCGCGCCCCAGCACCCCTTCGTCGTCCTCGGCGCGGCCCGCCACGCCGTCCTCTACCGCCTCCGCGCGGCCCACCACGCCCTCGTCGATCTCCTCGCGCGCCGCGGGGAGGGCGCCGCTCGTGGACGCGGCCAATACCAAGGAGAACATCATGGTCACCGTCCGCTTCCGGCCCCTCAGGTGTGCTTCTACTCTTATTTGCGCGCTTTGTGCCGTGGTTGGAGGGGACAAGGCATTGGATTTTTCGTGGGCTTTGAGCTGGATGTTTGTCTCATGCGTTTTTGTGTTTCGTTTTGCAGTCCTAGAGAGATCAACAAGGGGGACGAGGTGGCGTGGTACGCGGACGGTGACAACATGGTGCGCAACGAGTATAACCTCAGCATTGCCTATGCTTTCGGTGAGTGCTCTTGAGTCCATTTCAGTGCAATACTACATTGTGGAACAGGTGATGATACGAAGGAGTTATGCCTGTTTGTTCAAAAAAGGGGATAAAATTGGTTGACTTGAGTCCTACCGGGTTGTTGAGGAAAAAGGGTGCTGGTTATGGCATATTTGGCAATGGAGTGGCATTAGAAAGTTGCATTCCTTTCGTATGGTATACCTGCGCTGCTGGGCATGAGAATGTTGGCAAGTTGTCAGAATAGAGCATAGAGGCTTAAGAGTAACTACTACCTAACATAGGGTCAGCTTCCTAATGAATGTAGAAAATCAGATTTCTGCTTTGTACTATTTGCCACTTTTTGATCAAGCAAGCTGTATAGTATGCATTATGCAAAAGATTGAAAGAGCATGGTGAGGTCTTCATCCTTTTCAGTAAAAGCTGCAGGAAATAGTAAAGAATTAATGTCGTTAACTTAATCCTGTTACGGATGGTTAGTTCTGGTCTTATTTTGAATCTGAATTAATGTTCCAGTCAAAGAACCTTATCTCAGAGATAAGCTATACATTATAGTTCCAGAGGTACTCACCATAGTCATCGAGTTTACTAAACCATATGCATCCTTTTTGTTTGTGATTTCCTTTTAACTTTTAGATAAAGTGTTTGGCCCTGCCACTACAACTCGCCATGTATATGATGTTGCTGCTCAGCATGTTGTGAGTGGTGCCATGCAAGGAATCAATGGTATGGCAGCTCTCTTACTTATTTTAATATAAGTGCTGTTAACTAATTATGAGACTGGGAATTGTTGCTGCATGCCTATTAGAAGTTTGAGTGGGACAGAATTCTAGTAACCTATTACTAATTGGTAGTCAGTTCCTATGCTAGTCACATGTCCGATGAGCTTTGTAAACAACAGATGTGGACTATGGACAATGCGTAAAAGGTCTGTTACAGAATGCAGATTGGTAGGGTCAGTAGCCTTTGTTAGTCGCTGAATTCTTACTCTTGGTAGTAGCAGAATTCTTACTCTCATCGAGAGAGGATGACACTAGGAGTGGGGGAATTTTCTGGTTTATTTCTCACACAAACTCACACAAATGCCATGCCAACCTGAGGGGTTGGGGGTACATATTTATAGGCTGCTAGCCAGCCAAGCATATGCCAAGATGCTAGTCTAAGATGCTGTCCTCTAGTCTAAGATGCTGTCCTATGCTGTCCTAAAAAACAGACCATGCAGCCACGAAGACCATGTGACCAGCACAGCCCCACAAAGACCAGCACATGAGACTTATCCCATCAGCCTTCTCATTGCACCTTTTGGGGGGAAAGCCCATTAATTGATTTATATCCTCTGAATCACGACCTGTTCTTTTGATCATAAAATTTGAGACATGCTTCTTGTTACTTTGATCTCTGATTTTGATTAGGACTTCACTGTTGGTTTCTGGTAATCTGGTGCAATGGTGCTGCATGCTTTCTTTTAATCTCGTCCAAGATAGTTGTGTGCTAGAATGCTTAGGTTCAACCTTTAAAAACATTTACCATGATGACATATAAAGTAATTAACTTCGGTACATCGAAAATGGCGCTGATTCACCATCAGAACTTCTATGTCATCATGTACTTAGAAAGAGTAACGATCGAACATGTGTGTTAGAGACAATAACAATTCCCTAAATGACAAGTAAACCTGACTGGAGATAGAATGTGTACTCAGATTTATTCAGTTTGCTGAAATTTCTCTGTTCCTGCAGGAACTGTTTTTGCATATGGTGTAACTAGCAGTGGGAAAACTCACACCATGCATTTATGTTTCTGCTTCAGTGTTACGCCTATGCATCTAATGTTTTCAATGACTCTAGCTATGTGCTGGTACGGACTTGTTTGTTCAGCACAACACAAGACATGCCTTTATTGTTTAGTCTATGTCTATCATCATCGCTGTCGTCCTATGATATCAAGCTATAGAAACGAAGATTTCACACCCTCAAAGCACGAGCACGAAGTTTTTATTAATTTTCATCATTGAATTTCCTTTCATGTTACACTTGGGCTATTGTTGCAGGGAGAACAAAAGTCACCTGGAATCATTCCATTGGCGGTGAAGGATGTATTCAGCATTATTCAAGATGTACTTATCTCATTTCTTATATACTGCCCCCCCCACACACACACACACACACACACACACACCAAAAAGGAAAAAAGAAAGAAAGACAGGCAGCATGCCATTCTCATCTCTTCTGTTGACAACAGACCCCTGGACGAGAGTTTCTTCTGCGGGTTTCGTATCTTGAAATTTACAACGAGGTGACTTCTCATTTCCCCATGCATTTGCTTGCTGCATCTTAGCAACACCAAGACTAATTACAATGTTATCTCCATATTGGATCTTTGATTGCATACACAGAGTTCCTTCTAGATGCCTGTTTATTTACTACTCATATACATATATTGCCACTTGATCAGATTCCATGCTACCCTTATTATGATGCAACTGATATAAAAGGATTTTTGATGTTATTATTCAACTTGAACGCTTACTAGTAATGAAATGTAGACCAATTCAAAGTGGTAAAAAGATGTATTTCAGTGAACTTACTCAGAACTCAATGGTGAAACTGTTTAGTATTGTTCACATGCTTCTTTTTTTATCTTACCGCTTTGTAGGTTATCAATGACTTACTTGATCCAATAGGGCAGAATCTCAGAATTCGAGAAGATACACAGGTTGGTGTAGTGTTATTTATTAAAATCTATTTTCTGATTACTCACTCATGCCCATTCAATTTTGCACAGCACAAAAAGTTAAACTGCATGAGATTTGTTTTATTTTATTTGTTATGAATTTCCATATCCATTACTTATCTTGGTTCAGGTTTGTCTATTGTCTGGATCCTTTTTCTCATTATTCTAGAGAAAGATAATCTTGTCCATTAGTCGATAATTTCTTTCTTTCTTAACTGATAAAATTATTGTACCCTTATTTGTTCTATCGATTCAATCATTCAGGGAACTTATGTGGAAGGGATTAAAGAAGAGGTTGTTTTATCACCTGCACATGCTCTCTCTCTGATAGCATCTGGAGAAGGTATTTGTTTCTATCTAGAGAAGACCCTTTACCTTTATTTTGAGATACATTGGCCACCTTTCTTCAGTCAACCCCCCACACACACACACACACCCACACCCTGTTTCGTCTGCATGGTCTGCCACTGTATGTGAGCCCATGTGTTTCGGCAGTTCTTTTATTACTTTTTCCATGGTGGAATCAAAGTAGTCTTTGTTCTGAAGACCTCATTGCTTTCTTACAGAGCACAGGCATGTTGGATCAAACAACTTCAATCTTGTCAGCAGTAGGAGTCACACTATCTTCACGCTGGTACGCCCCTCCCTCTTGTTGGGGTTCAAGTATGATAGTCATGTAAACAAGTTTATGGGCATACTTGAATTCACCATGCAAGTTTTATGACATGTTATTTGCTCCAGATAACAAGTATGGGAACTAATGCCTGTTAAGTCTGTATCACTGTTAGTTATCTCACATAATACTTTATTGGATCTCAGAACTCAGTTGTTATTTTCCAAACAGAATCTTGTTTGATAAAAAGTTTTTAAGAAACTCATAACAGTAGTTAGACTTGTTAAGCTTACTCTTCCATAACAATACTGCAGACCATCGAGAGCAGCCCCTCTGGTGAAAATGAAGCAGAAGAAGTCAAGTTGTCTCAGTTGGTAAGTCCTCTCCCCCAGCATACTCAATTTTAATTCTCATTCAACTATTGTATCTTTGATTCTTTGGGCATTTAGCATACAGGAGTACAGGATATTGGGTAGCTTTTCTTGACCTATAACATATGGTATTCTTTTATCAGAACTTGATTGACCTTGCTGGGTCTGAGAGTTCCAAAACTGAAACAACTGGTTTACGGCGCAAAGAAGGTTCATACATAAACAAGAGTTTGCTCACCCTTGGAACTGTAAGTATCCTATATTGCTAAGTGCTAATGATTTCTCTTATTATTATTGTTAGACTGTAAATGTATATATGCGTGTGTATATGGGCCTGGGCCTTGGTATAGCCGGCTGGTCCTTTATTTGGTTAGAGAGATATGAGGAGATCTCGGTTTGGTTTTGTTTCTATAAACCACGAGATCTCCTCTCCCCTATATATATGTACATAGGTCTCTCCAATCAATCAATCTATTATTCCACGCAATCCTTGTTGCTTTCATGGTATCACGAGCTTAGTTTTTTCCCCTTCCTTTCCTGGCTGCCGCCTCCCTTGCGTGCGCCCGCCGCCTCCCTGCCATGGCCGGCGCCACCCCCCCCACCGCTTCCTCCGCTGCTGCTGTCGTTGATCCCAACGCCGCTGCTGCCGAGTCCAAGGAGGAGCGCGGCTGCGCAGGCTGCCGCCGCCGCCCTCCAGTCCACGGAGACGTGTGTCCGCGCGGCCGAGCAGGCCGCCACCGCCGCTGCCCTCCAGTCCACGGAGGCGCGCGGCCGAGCAGGCCGCTGCGGCTCGACTCGCCAAGGAGGAGCGCGCCCGTGCGGCTCAGGCCGCTCGCGACGCCGCCGCTGCTCGTGCGGCTGACGCCGAGCGCAAAGCCGCCGTCGCTCAGCAGGATTGGGACGCGGCTGATGCGCGACTTCAGGTCGCCCTTGACCGCGCGGCTCAGGAGCACGCCGCGGCCGCTCCTCCTCTGGAAAATGACGCTGCCCCTGACGACGCCGAGGATGCTGAGGATTTCACCTCTGCCGACGGCGGCGATCCCCATCTTCGCGCCGTTCTGCTTCAGCACGAGGCCGCGGCCCTCCTCAACCTGCACGCCCAGGCTATGGCCATGCAGAACATCCGGTTGCTCGTCCCGCTTGTCCTCGACGTCGCCTCCACCTTCTATGGCCGCTGGCGTGAGTCGTTCCTCCTCGTCGTCGGCCGCTACTCCCTGGAGAGCCATATCCTCTCCGACGCTGCCGCCCCCAACTCTCCGGATTGGGTGCGCATGGACTGCGTCGTGCGAACTTGGATCACCGGCACCATCACCGACGCCCTCGCCGAGGCCGTGATCGAGTTCGGCACCACCGCCCGCGCCTCCTGGCTCGCCATCGAGTCACAGTTCCGCGGTAATCGCGAAACTCGTGCTCTCCACCTTGAAGCCGCCTTCCGCAACTTCAAGCAAGGCGACCTCGACATCACTGCGTACTGCCGGAAACTCAAGGGCATGGCAGACGCCCTCCGCGACCTCGGCGAGCCCGTCAACAACAGAACTCTTGTCCTCAATCTCCTGCGCGGTCTCAATGGCCGTTTCGAAGCCATTGGGATTCACCTTCGCCATGACGTCCGCTTCTACTTTTCTGCGCAGCCCGCAACGATTTGCTCTCGAGGAACTCACTATGGCGAGTTCTGCTCCGCCTCCTTCATTTCGGCCCTGACCGCCACCTCCGACAAGCGGCTTTCGGCCGCCCGCGCCAAGCGTCTCACTTCTCCATCAGCTGCTCCCCAAGAGCGGCCGCCGAACCAGCAGCAGCAGTCCGGGGAGGAGGAGCAGCCTTGTGCAAGCACAAGTCTCTGGGCGGGGTGGCGCAGAATCAACTCAACAGCGCCTTCCCCAACGGCAGCGCCAAGCAGCAGCAGCAGCGATGGCCCAATCTTCATCGACCATGGACCGGATCCATCAACATGTGGCTCGGACCTCGGCCCTCGACGCCACCACACACGACGCACTTCATTGGTGTACTGCGGGGGCTCAGTGGACCGCAATAGCTCCTCGGCGCTTCGACTAGCGCCGGCAAAAGGTCAAGGCGTCAATCCTAAGCGCCCAAAGAAGGGCGCTTCTCCATTGGTTCAGATGCATGCGGCCGATCATCGCCACCCCCGGCCGATGCTTCCACCTACCATGAACTTTCGGACCATGTCGCTCCAAAGAAATACATTGAGCAACTGGTACTTGACTCAAGCGCCTCAACCACATGACTTCGAGACGCGGGATAATCACCGTGCCTTCCCCTCCATATACTTCATCTCCATCCCATATTGTTGTCGGTAATGGGAACCTTCTTCCTGTTACCTCCACTGGCGTGACATCTTTTCCACATAATCTTCGTCTTAATAATGTCCTTGTTTCACCTGGCCTTACTAAGAACCTTGTTTCAGTACGCCAGTTTACCTCTGACAACAATTGTTCTGTGGAGTTTGACCCTTTTGGTTGTTTTGTGAAGGATCTTCCCTCTCAGAGAGAGATCGTCAGGTGTGACAGCTCCGGTCCTCTCTATTCACTGCAGTTCCCGGAGTTTGTGTCTGCTCTCCTCACCACTACCAACCCTTCCCTTTGGCACCAGCGTCTTGGTCATCCTGGCCATGAAGTTTTGTCTAAGCTAGCACAGTCATCCGCTATTCCATGTAATAATAGTGCTAGCCAAACATTGTGTCATGCTTGCCAGTTGGGTCGTCATACTCGTTTATCCTTTCATGCATCCTCTTCTAGAACCACTCATAATTTTCAGTTAATACTTAGTGATTTGTGGACGTCACCTATACCTAGTGTTTCTGGTTGCAAGTATTATCTTGTCATACTTGATGATTTTTCGCATTATCTCTGGACTTTTCCGCTTTGGCTAAAGTCTGACACTTTTCCTACCCTGTCTAATTTCTTTGCCTATGTGGCTACGCAGTTGGGTGTCCCCATTCAGGGTATTCAATGCGATAATGGACGCGAGTTCGACAATCATACTTCCCGCGCCTTCTTCCTCTCCCACGACGTCCAGCTCCGGATGTCCTGTCCTTATACCTCGCCTCAAAACGGTAAAGTTGAACGCATTATTCGTACCATCAATAATGTTGTTCGCTCCCTCCTGTTTCAGGCCAGTGTCCCCCCAACCTATTGGATTGAGGCTCTTTCCACCGCAACCCTCCTCCTTAACATTCTAACCACCAAGACAATCAACTTCTCCACCCCACACATGGTGCTCTACGGGTCTCCACCCTCTTATGACCACCTCCGTGTCTTCGGGTGTCGCTGCTACCCCAATCTCTCCCCACTGCTCCCCACAAACTCGCCCCTCGATCTTCCTTGTGTCTTTCTCGGGTATTCCCCTCATCACAAAGGCTACTGCTGCCTCGACCGGTCATCCAACCGGATCATCATCTCCCGGCATGTGGTCTTTGATGAGGCGTCCTTCCCGTTCTCTGAGGATCCTGGTCGTCCCTCACCCTAGGATTTTGAGTTTTTGAGCTCCACTGACCCTGCGATGGCTCCCCCAGCGCCGTCTTTTTTTGTACCTGCAGGCACTCCCGGTGACTCCGCACAGCCACGTGCGGCCCTTCTTCCAGGGAGCAGCGCCCCTTGGGTCATTGCTGCTCCCTTGGACTCCGGTGGCCTGCCAGCCGGCCAGGCCTCGCTTGCAGCTGCCTCGTCGTCACCAGCAGCCGGCCTGGCTGCTCCCCCAACGGCTGGCAGCAGCTCCCCGTCGCGGCACCCAGCGGCCAGCAACACCTCCCCAGGGTGCCCGATGGCCGGCTGCTCACCACCTCCAGCCGGTCGTGTCGCGCCCACCCTGGTCGGACCGTCGCCTGGCTTTCAGCGCTGGGCTGGCCTCGTCTACCACCGACGCCCATAGCCTCCTCCGCCCGATTTGGCTATCCTGGCGCCGGTCCCTCCGGTTCGGCTGACGTACAGCTGACGTCCGCGATCTGCTTCTACGCCGCCAGTCGCGCTCCAGCTACTGCGTCTCCGGTCGCTGCACCACCATCACCACCAGTTCCTCCTGTTCGCCTCCCCGCCGGGGCGGTTCCCATTGTCCCTGTGGCTAACCAGCATGCCATGCGGACATGTGGGAAGGCCGGTTTCCGACAATCGGTCATTCTTCAGGCGGTTTCCCTATCGCCTCTTCCGCGGACTTATCGCGCCGCACTTGCTGATCCAAATTGGCGTGCCGCTATGCAGGAGGAGTTTTCAACACTGCTTTCTAACCACACTTGGGATCTTGTACCACGCCCATCTAGATCCAATGTGGTGACTGGCAAGTGGGTCTTCAAGCACAAATTCAAGGCAGATGGTTCTCTCGAGCGCTACAAGGCGCGCTAGGTTCTTCGTGGCTTTACTCAGCGCCCTGGCATTGACTATGATGAAACTTTCACCCCTGTTGTGAAGCCCGCTACCGTCCGGACAGTTCTGTCTCTAGCTGTTTCTCGCAAGTGGCCGGTACACCAGCGATGTGAAGAATGCTTTTCTTCATGGGCATCTCTCAGAGACAGTGTATTGCGCTCAGCCTTCAAGTTTTGAGGACTCCTCTCGCCCAGATTATGTGTGTCGTCTGAATCGCTCTCTATATGGACTCAAACAGGCGCCACGTGCATGGTACAGTCGTTTCGCCAGTTTCCTTCTTCAGTTGGGTTTTGTGGAAGCCAAGATAGATACATCGCTCTTTGTATACCGTCGTGGCTCTGAGACTGCTTATCTTCTGCTGTATGTGGATGATATTGTGCTGACAGCTTCTTCTCCAGACTTGCGTCATCGTATTATTGCAGCCCTACAGCGTGAGTTTTCTATGAAGGATTTAGGCGAACTTCATCATTTTTTGGGCATGCAAGTTCAGCGCACTGCTTCTGGGTTATTCTTGTCACAACACCAGTACATGTTGGACATCTTGGAACGTGCTGGTATGGCTGATTGCAAGCCGTGTGCCACTCCAGTTGATATCAACCCGAAGCTCTCTGCCGATGGTGATCCTATTTCTGATGCTACAGATTACCGCAGTCTTGCCGGCGCATTGCAGTATCTCACCTTCACACGGCTTGATATTGCTTATGCAGTATAGCAGGTGTGTCTACACATGCACGACCCGCGGGAACGTCATCTTGCAGCTCTGAAGCGGATTCTTCGCTATGTTCGTGGTACTTTGGACTTGGGCCTTCATATCCGTGCCTCCAGTCAGTCTGATCTTGTGGTCTACTCAGATGCAGATTGGGCTGGTTGTCCTGACACTTGTAAGTCCACCTCGGGCTACGCTATGTTCCTCGGCGACAACTTGGTCTCCTGGTCCTCCAAGCGCCAGAACACTGTCTCCCGCTCCAGTGCTGAAGCTGAGTACCGTGCTGTAGCTAATGCGGTTGTAGAGGCTTCCTGGTTGCGCCAGCTATTGTCCGAGCTACATACACCTCTGCGTCAAGCAACGTTGGTGTATTGTGACAACACCAGTACAGTTTACATGTCTTCCAACCCCGTTCAGCATCAGCGTACCAAGCATATTGAGATCGATCTTCACTTCGACCGAGAATGAGTGGCTCTTGGTGCTGTTCGCGTTCTTCACGTCCCGACGACGTCCCAGTTCGCCGACATCTTCACCAAAGGCTTGCCTTCTTCTGTCTTCACGGAGTTTCGGTCCAGTCTCAACGTTCGCAAACACGGCGCTGTGACTGCGGGAGGGTGTTAGACTGTAAATGTATATATGCGTGTGTATATGGGTCTGGGCCTTGGTATAGCCGGCCGGCCCTCTATTTGGTTAGAGAGATATGAGGAGATCTCGGTTTGGTCCTGTTTCTATAAACCACGAGATCTCCTCTCCCCTATATATATGTACATATGTCTCTCCAATCAATCAATCTATTATTCCACGCAATCCTTATTGCTTTCAATTATGACTTATTAATAAATATAGAAAATATTAACTGCAGCCCATTTCATAGATTTGTGCCGACCAGTCTTCTCTGATCTCTAGGAGCTAATTGGGCAACAGATCAACTCCTTGCTCCTAATCGGTGATTAGGCAGATAATAGACGAGAAGTCCTTAATAAAGAAGTATCAAAAGATTTAGTTGCTAGCCCTCAAATATGACTGGCCAGTAGGAAGGAATACTTGGAAAATGGTCATATTCTTTGTTAATTTGTTTGGTTGTTCCTCTCTTGTTAAATTGTCAGCAACATTCTCCATGCAGGTAATTGCTAAACTTACAGATGGTAAGGCAACACATATTCCCTATAGAGACTCAAAGCTCACACGCTTACTTCAGTCTTCTCTGAGTGGACATGGACGCATATCTGTGAGTAGCTCTTATAAGTTATATGATATACTTTGTGCTTTTCAATCTTGCTTAAAAAAACTATGGTTATCTTTATATTTCACTTGTTTCGAGGAAAATATTCCCACGTATAAATGTCTTACTAAATGCATATGGCAGACTATAGGGCTATGTTCTAAGTCCTAACATTTTTTTTTGGCAGCTCATTTGCACAGTTACACCGGAAGGGCGGGCCTGGTGCAAGCGGTAGAGTCTTACCGCCTGTGACCGGAAGGTCCCGGGTTCGAGTCGCGGTCTCCTCGCATTGCACAGGCGAGGGTAAGGCTTGCCACTAACACCCTTCCCCAGACCCCGCACAGAGCGGGAGCTCTCTGCACTAGGTACGTCATTTTTTTTTATTTGCACAGTTACACCTGAGAAGGGCGGACCTGGTGCAAGCGGTAGAGTCTTACCGCCTATGACCGGAAGGTCCCGGGTTCGAGTCGCGGTCTCCTCGCATTGCATAGGCGAGGGTAAGGCTTGCCATTGACACCCTTCCTCAGACCCCGCACAGAGCGGGAGCTCTCTGCACTGGGTACGCCCTTCACAGCTACACCTGCATCCAGCAACAGTGAGGAGACACATAATACATTAAAATTTGCTCACAGGAGCAAGCATATTGAGATAAAAAGCTTCCCAAAACAAGGTGATAAACAATCAGTTTGTAATCCATATTGTTCTGTGCTTGTCACTAGTGTTGATGGATTTTCTTTTCAGATAATAGACGAGAAGTCCTTAATAAAGAAGTATCAAAAGGAGATATCCAGCCTGAAAGAAGAGCTACAGCAACTCAGGCGTGGTATAATGGGAAATGGTGGTATTCTCCCTACGGATCAAGAGGATCTTGTTAATTTAAAACTTCAGGTTTGCTACATCTTACTCAACAGTTGGTTAATTATTCTTTCTTGATTTCTGGATAATACTTTTACAACTGTAAGAACCTGCCAATGAGAACACTGTATGACTAATTTTCATTTTCATCTGGCATGCTTTTATGCTATGAAATATCGACATATTCTTTTTTGATTAACATCCTCATCCTAGTAGATTAAATGAACCTTTCCCCTTTGGACAATACTTATTAGTCATATTTTGATACAAATAGATTAAACATTTAAACTGTTCATTTTGTATGATAGCTTGAAGCTGGGCAAGTCAAACTTCAATCAAGGCTAGAACAGGAAGAGGAAGCAAAAGCAGCACTGATGGGCATGATTCAGAGGCTAACAAAATTAATATTGGTATCAACCAAAAGTTCGATATCCTCAAATGTTTCTGGAAAGACTAACCTTCGTCGACGTCATTCATTTGGGGAAGATGAGGTTGTTTGGTTGCAGCATTTTGTTCTATTAGTCCAACTAAGAACAGTAGACTAAATTCCCAATAGCATGTTCTTTTTTCTTGAACACGTAGAAGAACTGCGCATCATTATATTAAAGAAAGAAAACAGTCCAAATACATGTCAAATTCATGGCTTTGGTTAGTTTTTTAGATCGATACACCAATAGCATGTTCTAGAAAGTGAAATATAATGCCAATGTGCAAGAGCAGCATAGGATCCGCTTTCCTTCGTCGTTTTTTGTGGACGCTAAATATGTTGCTTTTCTTGTTCACTGATGAATTCCTAGCTTGTTGAGGATATCTTTCTGACTAATATATTCATTGTGAAACAACTACCTGAGATTACACGTCTGCCGCACAATACACAACAGAAGTTAAAAAAACTTGTGCCCCATTTTCATGTTTGGAATAAACTACACTTGTAAATACCGTTTCGGGTCCATTCCATTTTTTTCTCTTGTAATGGATCATTCTGGTACTCGCCTACACCGGGTACCGTTTTGGACTAATAACATAGTAAGATATAAAAATATACCTACATATAAAACATCATATACGATATATGCACATCAAAGGAGGTGTTACTCGAGTTTTTGTCAATACTTGATATAGCTGGAATGACCGATATTGGCTGGTATTGAAGGCTCGAGGCTGGTAACACAGGTTGGAGGGTCTTCTATATTTGGTACTTGGATTTGCAACGTACTGATGCGCTATGGTGCTTTTGGGCCACCTTATGAATCCTTTGTGGAAGGTGCTTATGATGATGCAGTGCCTAAGATACTCACATTATGATTGTTTCACCTGAAATGGTTGTAAAACAAACTGGATTGAAGATGAAAAATTACTACACTGTGATGTTTCATTTTTTTAAGCACTTAGTAACATGGCTATTCTGATTTTAGTACATAATGAAGCGGTAATTCTTCTGTATTATTTATTTTGTTGCAGCATACCTATTGTTCACATTCTGTTTTCAATTGCAGCTTGTGTATTTGCCTGATCGAAAGCGGGAATACTTTGTAGATGATGACGATGTTAGTCTTGATTCAGAGCTTTCGCTTGAAGGGAAATTTGATCTGAACAATCCAGACGAGTCAGCCAGGTTTGGCAGAAGGAACCGCAAACGCGGAATGCTTGGCTGGTTTAAACTAAAGGTATTTTTATTGTACAACAGATTGTGGATATCGAAGACAATAGCCATATGTGGAATATCTGATTAAATCATATATGTTAACCTTGTGCAGAAGTCCGACCAATTATCAGGGCTATCATCCAGTGTGGACGGTGATAGTACTGCTAGCGGCTCACCTTCATGCTCTAAATCGTCACAACAAAAACACTTGCTGCTCGACCTAAAGGATGGTCGAAGGAAATCTATGACTAGGAAAGGAGACGACCCAGCACTTGCTGATTCTTTTCTTGAAAGGACTCAAGCTGGTGATTTATTTAGTGCGCCCAGAGCACGGCACCCTCTGCTGGTGAGTTGTATTTCTATTGACTGCACCTCTTTCTCTCTTTTCTGTTTTCCTCCCTGTGCATGCATTCCTTCTATCCCAACACACAACTTAGCATGAACAAACTTGGGTGGGGGGGCACAGATCTAGACTAGTCCAAAGTTACGATGAACATTGAATTCATTTTTTCCTCTGAAATTTGGATGGTATTCCCTGCTCCTTATTTTTCTTTGCCTGGCTGCCTCCTGGCCAAGAACAGTATGGCCATGCCTTCCTTGCCATGAACATCCAGTCATGTTAGTTTGTTGGTCTCATCTTGTTCTGCCTGTGTATTATTTTGGTGGGTATTTGCCACATCCATTGACACCGACAGCCTTGTTGCATTTGCAGAGTGGAACAACCATTGTGGATCAAATAGATCTTCTACAAGAGCAAGTCAAAATGCTGGCAGGGGAAGTTGCACTTTGTACAAGTTCACTCAAAAGACTGACAGAGCAAGCAACCAACAACCCTGATGATTTGCAAATTCAGGTAAATTTTCTGATTGTCCTGTAACCAAGTACACACTTTTCATGTTCTTTATGAAGTTTTTGCTTCCTTTTATTTCTTCTGCAGTAGCAAATTGAGAAGTTGAAAGATGAAATCACAGAAAATAAATCACATATACATATGCTAGAGCAGCGGATGGTGCAATCACTGGAAACTACAGAAGACCCAACAATTAGGACAGAGTTGTCCCAGGTAATAAGGCTATGAAATGACGAGCTGAAGCGTAACTTCATCTTAGCTTGGTTTACTTGTAACGTTCAACCAATTATCATTGGGAATATTGTAGTTATGTTTTCACCGATTTGTTGTAATATCATATACCTTTTCTATTGTTTTACTTGCTAGTGCGTGCTAGATGCTGTCTTTTGATGTCCATTTTTACAAATAAATGATCTGAAGATTTCATGAACTTGATATTCTCACAGACCTTTTCAAAGTTGAGCACACAGCTGAGCGAGTGTAGCACCTGGTTTTAAGGATAAAACCAGATACCCACCATATGTGTGCTCAGGAATGCAATTTACACACATGGCTACAAATGAAGGGGTAATATCAAAGACAATGCCTTAAATACTTAGCGCACAAATATTTGTTATAAAAGACGTAGTCTTACTTTATAGTATATACTATAACTCTGATCTTCTGGCGAGGCCTCCAACACCACAGGAATCGTCAACTGGTTGATCACAAGCCTAACACCTCTTGAAAAACTCCACTGAAGAACCTTCATTTGGTACCCATCCGGGATTTTGTCAAAGTATTGAAATGAAACAAGCGTAAGCTACTACCGTTTAGCAAGCATAACATGAGGGAATGTAGGCTCAAAAAGGTTTGACACGGCTGAACTGCGGTAAACACTTTTAGTTGGTCATATTTTATTATTAATTATAAGTTGCTAAGTTATGATTGGGCTCCCAAATATGAATAATTAGAGATATCAGCAATTTTAATCATAACCTAAATCATCCGAGTAACCAACTATTAGTAAGGGTCCTTATGGAGAGAAACTAGAGCACAATAAGAAAAGGCCTAATACTCTAGCCCCCTTGGTTTCATGTTGCTAAAAAGCATCTTTTAATATGATGTTGCATATATCTTTAATTATATTCTTTAATCAATATTAGTTGGAGCAAGCTGAACATACTATCCACATGCAAAACCCATAGGTAAATCAAGGACATGATAATCAATATCAAGGTAGGGAGACTCCAAGCTGTTCATTAACATATGCAGATGAATTGAGATTGCATTAAAGTAAATAGATAACAAGGAGCCTCATATTATACTTGTCTTAATTCAAAGTATCGCTGCTGGTCTTGATCTTCAAAGTGTTGCTCCAGATCACCAACACAAAACTCACTGTCTACTCGAGATCAAACAACACCACACAGGCATCCATACATACATACATAGCAAACAAATACAAGCTAATTAGAACAATACACCAAACAGTAGAAATAGAAGTTAAAAAGGTTTTAAAACGGTTCTATGCGATGCTATGAGCACACAGACGCGAAGATCACAAAAATCGGAGCTAAAACGAAGAAGTTATGAATTAAACGAGATTTCATTTAGTAAAATAATAGATTAAATCTAACCTCCAATTTAAATGCTGAAAATATTCTTAACAATAGTATAAATATGTAGATTATGGAATTATGAACCCAACGCAAGTTGAACGGATCAAATCGGAATTAAAACGGAGATTTTATGGCTAAAACAAATCTAGTGACAAAACTGTAAATAACTGAAAACGTATTTTAGATTTAATCGAAACAAAATATGCTTTCAAAAGAAGAAAAAAAAAATCTGAAAAGACGTTTTGGACTGCGGGTTAAGACCCAAATACTTATAAGGGCTCTTTTGAAAGATTACGGGGACGGCGGGTTAAGACGCAAGTAACTGTAATAGCCTTTTTGAAAATATGCCAACGAAGGGTACGTTCTAATCCTAGCCTTTGATTTTGGATCGGACGGCTATGGTGGCTCCAGGACTTGGCTGGTCGGAACAGACACTAATACAGAGACGGGCTTTACTCTCGGTGGGGAATTCCCTCTAGTCTCGGTTCCCCACCCGGGAGCAAGCATCCGGGACTAAAGGGGGTCCTTTAGTCCTGGGTAACACCAACCGGGACTAAAGGTCCTCCCAGCTTTAAAAAAAATAATGCCTCCCACCGCTGCGTCCCGTGAGATTCGAACCCAAGACCTCATGCATTGCCTCACGTGTAGCTTACCACCCCACCTACACAACACATCTAACAATGGATGTGATGCTTCCGTTTTGAACTAACCCATCGGGGGACCTTTAGTCCCGGTTAGTGTTACCAACCAGGACTAAAGGGTCCTTTATTCCGGGTTGGTGTTACCAACCGGGACTAAAGGGTCTACCTTTAGTCCTTTAGTCCCGGTTGGTGGCTCCAACCTGGACTAAAGGTCCCCTACCACTGTGCCGAGCGCAGTAGTCATTGGGCAGGGACCTTTAGTCCCGGTTGGAGACACCAACCGGGACTAAAGGTCTCTCTAGTCCCGGGCGCAAAAAATGCCGGGACTAGAGCCCATTTTGGCCTCGGATGAAAGGTCTGTTCTCTACTAGTGAGAGGCGCCGGCGCGATGGTCTCCATTGCCGGCGGCGGAAAACTTGCCAGTGGTCTTCGAAAACGGCCTACAGGCCATGGCAGAGCGAACATAGAGCTTGGGGAGCAAGAGGGAGGCTTGGCAAGCTCACCTAGGGTTTCCTCGGCGGTGGAGGATGGATGAAGACAGTGCGGGCTCGATTCGGCGGACGGCCATGTTCTGCAAGAGTTCGGCGATGAAGGTGATCAACTAAGAGAGCAAGAGAGAGGGAAAACGTAGCCTGCGGCTTTGTACCTCTATGCGGAGAGCGGAAGGTGGAGCTTGATGACGGGGAGGCGTCCAGCGGCGGCGGCGGATGTCGTCGAGCTCGGCGAGATCCGTCGAGCGCGGGATGGTGAGGCTAGGGCTTGGGCGGCGCTGCTCTAGGGTCAAGGGAGGGCGGTGACACCTGGGCTTGCTATTTACGGGGCGGACGGCGTGGGAAGCAAGCCAAGCGCGGCGTGGCGAAGGCTGTCTCGGCGGCGGCAGAGTCCGTCACCGCGACGGGAGGAAGAAGATGTGTCTGATGAGTGGGGCTACTCCGTCAGTCACAGTGAGAGGGAAAGCGCGGGGCAGGCTATCCAAGCAGGCCAGGCCAAGCGGAGCGGCTGGGCCAGCGCGGAGAGAAAACAGACCTGCGGCCAGGAACCAGAGAGAGGAAAATGGCCTTCGGGCCAAAAGCCAAGGGAGGTAGAGAATTTCCTTTTCTATTTTCTAAACCAATTTCCAAACAAATTTTTAATGCAAATTCAAATCAATTCGAAATCGGATTTCAAACCACACAGTACAAAAATAATATGCAGCAACATGAATGCACAACCATGTTGCTAAACTTATGATGAATTTTAATTTCAATAAAGATTATTATTTTCCCTAGGTTTAAATATACACAAAAAATCATAATTAAATGAATTTAATTATATTTAAAGAAAAACAAATTTTAGGGTGTTACAGCGAGAAGACATTTGAACTCGAGGTTGATCCATAGTCATGTAACCTGAAATTCATACTATTCTTTTTTTTTTATGCTGGACTAATTGCTGGTTTCTCTCTGACTGTGTCACTTGTCTAGATTATGTCTGCGGATAATAGAATTCTTCAAGACCAGCTACAAGCAAAGGTGAGCAAAGGGCGGGGCGTGAATCTTTTGTTGCTCAACAGATCAATTTGATTTCCGTATTTTTTGTTCAAATAGGTAACAGAAAATGCAGAACTCCAAGAAACAGTTGCACGCTTGAGGCAAGAAATCAGTAATTTGTCGAAGGCTGCCAAAAGCGAGGATAGTTTTGCTAGTGTGCAGTCTAGTGAACCATCAACGGCAAGCACTGATACTAGGGATCAAGCAAATGAAGTCTCAAGCCATGCAAATATGCCCTCTAGAACAACTGACTTAAATGAGTCAGGATTTATATCTCAAGTGCTCAAGCAGGTAAAAGATATTATGCCCCTAATCGTCACTTTCCTATTTAGTTCATCTTCTTTTTGTGATATACCAATTGAAACATAAAAGCGGTGCTCCAGGCTTCAGAAATTGAAAGTTTGAAGCAAGAAAATCTGAGGTTGGTGGAAGAGAAGGATGGACTGGAAGTTCATACTCAAAAGCTGGCGGAGGAATCATCCTATGCTAAAGAATTGGCATCTGCTGCTGCAGTTGAACTAAAGAATTTGGCAGAAGATGTCACTAGGCTTTCTTATGAAAACGCAAAGCTGAATGCAGACTTAGCTGCAGCAAAAGAGCTAAATGCATCAATGTCAAGAAGTAACATTCACGCTGACCCAAAGCGACGTGATCGTGAGAGTGGAATTATAGTTAAGGAGTTGCAGAAAGAGTTGGTTGCTAGTTGTCAAAGGGAGGCGGTGTTAGAGGACACACTGTCTCAAAAAGACCGAAGACAGAGTGAGCTTCTAAAGATTATTAATGATGCAAAATGCCGAGAGCATGAGTTGGAAAACGAACTGGCAAGCATGTGGGCCCTCGTTTCGAAGATAAAGAAAGAAAACTCTCAACAGGATGTATTTGAATTCAAAGCAAAGCAAAACGGTTTTCACTCATCCAAGACTGATAGTGGCAGACTGGTAAGTGAAATGCAAGCTCCAGATAATGGGAGCTGGGATGGCCTCAGTACTTTTGAAGAAGCAAGAGCTGCATACAATTATGAAAGAATGCGCTGCAAAGAATTGGAAAGCGTCGTGCCCAGATTGAAGGTGATTATAATATGTTTATCGTTGCATTAGCTTTTTCCAGCTTGAGAAAGCAGAATGAAAAACAATCGAATAAGTGTTAGCTAATCTACTGCCACCTTGTGAGAACACAGCAGAGGAAGGCGGCGCCGACTTAGCTGTCTGCTGTGTGTGAACACAGCAAGGGAAGGCGGCGCCGACTTTGCCCCTACTGTGATACAGTAGCCGCTGTAGGTGCAGGCGCCGCACGGCTCACCTACAGCACTGTAGGAACAGGCAGTGGCCGGCGCAGAGTCAGCCCTGTCAGGTTATCTAGTTACTGTGGCAGCATGGGCGCTGCACATGGACTAGATAGTTAGAGTTGTATAAATAGACATGTATGGCAACTCAGTAAAGAGAGCTCAGATTTGCCATCACACAGACAGGGCTTCGGCCAACGCTGTTGCCTTGTATTATACGTGCTTGCTCTGTTCTCCCTTCCTCTTCTAGCTCGATCCGTAGTGTGTGGGTACGGACAACGCCGGTACGTGGTCTGCACGGCTAGTGGGTGCTCGGCAACACTAGCACGTGCTCGGCGAGACCGACAAGTGCTCCACTCGCCTGAGCCGGTGGACGGCAAGATCGGCTGGAGTGTTTCACTGTCGTGAGCCGGTGATCCTGTGAGACCAACGGAGTGGTCTGGAGATCATCTCGGTGGTCGGGAGGCTAACTGTGGGCCAACAAGTGGTATCAGAGCCGTACAAGCGCCATCGTCATTCTAACCGATGGCGATGACAGGCGGTTCGGAGTTGGGCGACGGCAGTGGCACTGTCGTGGCTGCCCAGTCACTACCGGAGGTAATTGTTCGCATGGTGCGGGAGGTCAGCGGCACCACTTGGCCGACGCTGACTCGCACTAACTATGGAGAGTGGTCGGTGACCATGAAGGTCAAGCTCAGAGCCCGTCGGCTCTGGAATGCTGTTGACAAGGGCACCGACGTGGAAGAAGACGACATGTCGGCGATGGAGGCTATACTCATTGCTGCTGTCGCGTGAGTATAGGGAACTGTTGGGGACGAAGAGCTCAGCTAAGGAGGCGTGGGAGGCCATTGCGGCGATCTTGGCGTCGGTTCCGACCAGCGCAAAAAGAAGGCAACGCCCCGCTTTACAAGCGAGAGTACGCAAACCTCAAGTTCAAGGATGGTGAAACGGTGGAGGACTTCTCCCTCGCTGCGACGCTCATCGCCAAGTCAAGAGCCACGACGCGTCACCATCAACGAAGAGGAGGCGGTCTCCAAGTTCCTCCACTCATCGCAAGCAAAGTACATCCAGATCGCTCTATCCATAGAGACGATCTTGGACTTGTCCACCCTCACCATCGAGGATGTGGCAGGCCGTCTGGGCGGTGGGCGAGCACCTAGAGCAGCGACAACAACGAAGGACGGCGGAAACTCCTGGCGACGGAAGAGGAGTGGGCTGCTCGGCGAAACTCCGGAAAGCGGCCTCCTCCGGTCAAGCGGTGGCAACGGCAAACATCACGGCGAGGCTTCTTCGATGAAAAAGCAAATCGACTCAACGCTCGCCGGTGTTGCGGGAAGATAGGCCATTGGGCACGGAGTGCCCAAATCGCAAGAAGGAAAAGAAGGCTCGGGCTCACCGGCGAAAGTCGATGATGAGGATGAGGCTACTATCCTTATGGCGGCGTTACGTACCGCATTTGCGCGTCGAGGCCATGGAGAGGGAAGAGGCGACGACGGTGGAAGGATCTAGCAAGGCCACGAAGACCGTCAACCTCGACGAACCAGCGCCCAAGTCCATCTTGGGCATGTGGGCGTCGACCAGAGCAGCGGTGGTATCTGGACTCGTGCGGTAACCACATGACGGGCTCCAAGGACTCCTTCTCCCGAGCTCGACGGCGATGTTACCGTGCGGCGAAGTTTGGTGACGGCTCAAGGTGGCTATCCAAGGGCGCGCACCATCATCTTCGATGCCGAATGGGAGCACCACATGGCGCTAACGGATGTATACTACATCCCGCAATTGCGTTCCAAAGATCATCGGCATTGGTCACCGGATGAGCGCGATAGCGAGTTCGATCAAGGACGGCGCTTACGAGGATCGAGAGATCGAGCGCCGACTTCGCCAAGGTGAAGAGGTCCTTGAACCGGTTGTACCGGTCGACCAAGGTAGAGCAGCCGGTTTGCTGGCGGCAAGGCACTCCGAGGAACCGTGGATGTGGCATGCCCGGTTCGAACATCTCGGCCGACGCGCTTGGTCGGTGGGGAAGATGGTCCGAGGGCTACCCTACATCAAACACGGAGGCGAGCCGTGATACCGCCTGCCGAAGCGCGAGGAGGCTACCTTTCCCAAAGGCGGCCAAGTATCGCGCGAAGAAGCTCTCGAGCTAGTTCACGGCGACCTCTGCGGGCCGATCACGCTTTGCTACATGCGGTGGTCGGCGGTACTTCCTCCTACTCGTGGACGATTGCGATGCGCTACATGTGGTCGCAACTCGACGACGAGCAAGGACGAAGCGGCGGTGGCGATCAAGAAGTTCAAGACGCGCGCGGAGGCCGAGAGCGGCAAGAAGCTCCTCGTACTGAGGACTGATCGGGGTGGCAAATTCACTTCGGTGGAGTTTGCTACGTACTGCGTGGATCAAGGTGTGGGGCAACATCACACCACGCCGTACTCGCCACAACAGAATGGCGTGGTGGAGCGACGGAACCAGACAGTGGTCGGTATGGCCCGATCCATGATGAAGGCCAAAGTGATGCCAGCAAAGTTCTAGGGAGTGGCGGTGACCACGGCGGTGTTCATCCTCAACCGCGCTCCAACCAAAGCCCTAACGGGCAAGACGTCGTTCGAAGCTTGGTACGGGAGCAAGCCGAACGTGTCATTACTCCGGACATTCGGTTGCATCAGCCACGTCAGGAAGACGAAGCCGAACCTCACCAAGCTGGAGGACAGGAGCACACCCATGGTGTTCCTGGGCTACACGGAGGGTACCAAGGCGTACTGACTCTATGACCCACGCGGAGACAAGGTGACTGTCTCGCGCGACGTTAGGTTCAACGAGGAGGCGGCTTGGGGCCGCATAGTCCGAGCACGGGAAGCGGGAGGCTTCACCAACACCTTCGTCGTCGTCGAGCACTTGGTCATCCACGGCGGTGGAGACGCCGCGCGAACAAAAACGCACTCCGGGAGGAGCGCCGAGCACTCCGGCGGTAGAGTCGAGCACTTCTGGGGCAGTGCCGAGCACTTTAGGAGGGATGCCGAGCACTCCGAGAGGAGTGTCGAGCACTTCTGGAGGAATTCCGAGCACGCCAGGAGTGGAGCCAGGCGGTTCTACAGTGGCGGCGACCACTTCAGGACGGGTACCGAGCACTCCCGTGGCGGAGCCAAGACGTCTTACTGTGGTTCCGACCACTCCAAGACTGAGGCTGGGCACTCCTACAGTGTGGCCGAACACTGCAGGAGTTATGACGAGCAGTCCAGAAGCAGTGCCGAGCACTTCAGGTGCTATGCAGGGCACTCCGGCGGAAGAAGGAACTCCATCACCCCTGATCGAGTTCGCCTCACCTCCAAGTGACATCACTGAGTTCGTGGACGCCTACCACGAAGGTGAGGAGTTGAGGTTCCACAGGCTGGACGACATCGTCGGCGGCACAGGTCCCTCAGGTATGGCGGGTAGGCTGCTCAACGACGCAGAGCTGCTACTCGTCAGTGCAGAGGAACCACCCACGTTCACGCTAGCCGAGCGCGATGGAAACTGGCGATGGGCAATGCTGGAGGAGATGAAGGCGATCGAGGAAAACAAGACTTGGCAGCTCGTCGATCCACCCCCAGGATACCGTCCGATCAGCCTGAAGTGGGTGTATAAAGTCAAAAGGGACGAGCTCGGCGCCATTGTCAAGTAAAAGGCGCGCCTTGTCGCCCGAGGCTTTGTCCAGCGCGAGGGCATCGACTTCGAGGAGGTCTTTGCACCAGTAGCGCGCAAGGAGTCGGTTCGTTTGCTACTTGCTTTGGCGGCAGCAAAGGACTAGCGTGTCCATCACATGGACGTTAAATCAGCCTTCCTCAATGGCGAGCTGGCGGAAACAGTCTTCGTCAGGCAACCTCCAGGGTTCGCTGTCAAGGGAGAGGAGCACATGGTGCTCCGACTGCGCAAAGCGCTCTACGGGCTAAGGCAAGCCCCTCGAGCATGGAACGCCAAGCTTGACACCACGCTGGGCGAGCTTGGGTTTCAGAGGTGCGCAACCGAGCACGCGCTCTACACGCGACGACGGGGGAAGGAAGAACTCGTGGTCGGCGTGTATGTGGATGACTTAATCGTCACCGGCGCGCGCATGGAGAATATCAACAGCTTCAAGCGAGAGATGGCAGCTCGTTTCCGAATGAGCGATCTCGGCGCTCTCTCCTACTACCTCGGCATTGAGGTGAGATAGGGGAAGGAGAAACTCACGCTCGGGCAAAGCGCGTATGCCTCCAAGCTGTTGGAGAGGAGCGGCATGGTGGAGTGCAAGCCATGCGTGACTCCGATGGAGGAGCGGCTGAAGCTGACGAAGGATAGCACCGTGGTGAAAGTAGATGCAACACTCTACCGGAGCATCGTCGGTGATCATGCTACCTAGTCCACACAAGGCCGAGACATTGCGTTCGCCGCTGTGGCTACGCTCGGTCGCTTCATGGAGGATCCCGAGAGGATCATCACGCTGCGGTAAAGCGGCTACTACGCTACGTCAAGGGGACGGTAAATCATGGAATCATCTTCCCAAAGACCGGGGAAGTAGGTCTGCACTCACGGTGTTCAGCGATGCGAGACATGGCGGGGACATCGACGGACGACGGAGCACCTCTGGCGCGTACTCGTCTTCCTCGGGTCAGCCCCAATTTCATGGTCGTCGCCAAAAATGAAGGTGGTAGCGCTATCTCACGTGCGAGGCGGCGAGTACGTGGCGGCGGCCACAACGGCGTGCCAAGTTGTGTGTTACGCCGCTACGCTGGGTGGGTGAGCTAACGGCATGGAAGCTCACCCACGAGCACTGATGGTGGACAACCAGTCCGCCATCGCCCTCGCGAAGAATCCGGTTCTGCACGATAGGAGTAAACACATCGACGTGAAGTTCCACTTCCTCAGGGACTGTGTTGATGGAGGGCAGATCGTCATCGAGTTTGTCGAAACTGGTCGGCAACTCGCGGACGTCCTCACCATGCCGCTCGGAAGACTTCGACTCACGGAGCTGAAGGAGATGATTGGCATGGAGGGGTTACAAGGGTTAGCAGTAGGATTAGGGAAAGATTGTTAGCTAATCTAGCCACCTTGTGAGAACACAAAGAGGAAGGCGGCGCCGACTTAGTCTGTCTGTGTGTGAACACAACAAGGGAAGGCGGCGCCGACTTTGCCCCTCGCGTGATATAGTAGCCAGAGGTGCGGGCGCCATGACGGCTCACCTACAACCTTCAGAGAACGGCGAGGGCCGGCGCGCAGAGTCAGCCACATCCGGGTTATCTAGTTATTCTTGTGCCGCATGGGCGCCGCACATAGACTAGATAGTTAGAGTTGTACAAATAGACATGTATGGCAACTCAAGGTAAAGAGAGCTCAGATTTGCCATCACACGACGGGGCTTGACCAACGCCAAGGTTGCCTTGTATTGTGCGTGCTTGCTCTGTTCTCCCTTCCTCTTCTAGCTCGATCCGTAGTGTGTGGGTACGGACAACGCCGGCACGTGGTCTGCACGGCTAGTGGGTGCTCGGCAACACTAGCGCGTGCTCGGCGAGACCGACAAGTGCTCCACTCGCCTGAGCCGGTGGACGGCAAGATCGGCTGGAGTGTTTCACTGTCGTGAGCCGGTGATCCTGTGAGACCAACGGAGTGGTCTGGAGATCATCTCGGTGGTCGGGAGGCTAACTGTGGGCCAACAATAAGCAGAATAAAAAAAAGTTGAGTAAAAAGAAGGAAAAAGAATAATGAAGAGCTCTATGTGATAGGTGTTAGATGTACTCTAACAATAGGGTATACCATATTTAGCTGTTAAAATCCACTTTGTGGGCTAATTTTCTGTGGCCCTGAATGTGTTGAAATTCAGCTATTAGCTTGTGTTTCTATGCTTCTGATACAGATTTTGCTTTTTAGGGTGAGGACCTCAGGGGCCTAGATGTTAAAGTCCTTGAAGAGCTACAAAATTTCCATGTAGAAGCACTGTCAAGGATCTGCCAAGAAAAGGTATGCCATTCCACCTGGGATGCCCCAAGCGCCACGGCCCTTGCGCACATGCGCACGGGCATGCTCCTATGTGTTTAAGCAAAGCTGCCATTTTTTGAACGGGAAAATATTCAATGCAAATCACCTCTTTGGTGGAATCATGAAACCCTCTAGAAAAACATACTTAGGAGTTTTCAAAAGAATTTAAACAAAGCACATTCATAGTGCATCTAAAAATGTACATTATCATATAATTTGAGATTTAAATTCCATCTAGAAAAATTCATATGAAAAGAACAAATTCCAAGTGCATATGCACTACAACTCTACAAGACACAAAATTTCTGGGAATTTGTCTTCTAGTACATAAGCACATGGAATTTGTTGCTTTTGTATGAATTTTACAAAATAGGTTTGAACCTCAAATTTGGTGGCAATGTAAGTATCATTTAAAGTTTTTTATGGAAACTCTTAAGTATGTTTTTCTCTGGTTTTCACGATCCACCAAATAGGTGGTTTGCATCGAAAATATTTTTCCCTTTTCAACATAATCAACATGCTTTGACTCTTTGACACGTGCTACATATTTCCCTTAACACACCTATGTCGTGCTCTGCAGATGGCAAGCCAGGCGCTATAGCAGAAGCCTTCCCTGAGATAAGTCGCTTTCATGCAGGCCAGAGTTTGTTTCTCAGATGTCCCTTCAACTTCATGCCCGCCGCTCTGAAGTTTCACTCACAATTTCACATGGTTGCTGCTACTGCAACCGGGCAACCTTTGATTAACCCGCATTTGGACACTGATTCCTGCGTTTAACCGGCAGAAGACGAAGCAAAATACGGTTAGATAGCAGGCGCTGATGGTCACTAGTTAGCATGCAGATACTCCCCTCCTGTACAGCTTATTAAAGATGGTAGCAGTAGGACTAGTGTTCGACTGTCATTATAAGCCGGTTTATAAGTCATGGTATAGTATTTTTCTCTCCCAACAAATCAGTCGTACAAATCAGCATAAGCGGCTTTACGAGCAGCCAAACAGAACCACAGGATTGTATTTATACCGCTAATATACGGTGGAATTTTTATTTTTAGCCCTTTTTTTGAAAGTTTTTCACAAATACGCCCCTGGAGAAAAGATTTTAAAATTTGAACCCTTAACTCGGCGCCATCGATGCTGGCGCCAAGCTAACACGTCTCGGCGCCAGCGTCCCTGGCACCAAGTTGTTGGGCTCGAGACCCACGTGGAGGTGACATGGCAGGGAGCTCGGCGCCAGTCACCCTGGCGCCGAGCTCGGCGCCGTAGATCTTAGCGCCGAGCTCGGCGCCAGGATGACTGGCGCCGAGCCTTTATTATGTATGGGCCCCAATCCTTTCTCTCCCCCCTCTCTCTCGCATCTCCCTCGCCCGAGCCGAGCAGAGCACCGCCGCCGCTGCGCTCGAGCCCGCGCAGCCTCGCCCATGCCGGAGCCTGCGCGCCCTTGCCCTCGCTGGAGCCCGCCACCGGCCGCCCACGCCGCACCGCCACCGAGGCCGCGCCAGCCCCGCGCCCGTGTCGGCCGCCCTTCCCCGCTTCCTCGGCCGCGGCCGCGGCGGCCACCGCTCTAGGCCCGCGCCCCGCGCCTCGTCGGACCACGCGCCCGCGCCGGCCCCGTGCCACCGCCAGCCGTGCCCGCCGTGCAGTGACCGTGCCGTGGCCACGTCGCACCCGCGTCGTGCCGCTTGGCGCCCGCCGTGCCTCGCCACGCCGCCCGTGCCCGGTCTCGCCTAATTGGCTGCCCGTGCCGACGTCCGCGGATCAGTCGTTGTAAAGGTAAAAATTGTGAATATGCAATGTACATACTTAGTTGGCATTTGTTATTTACTAGTTAATGTGATGACTTAGGTAGTTGATTTAGTTAGTGATCTAGTGAGATATATATGTGGATAGATAGAAACATAGATACATAGGTACATAGATATAGTTATATAGCTACTTAGATAGATAGTTACATATTTAGTTAACTAAATAGGACCTAGCTATTTAGTTAGTACACTGTATTTATGTATGTAGTTGTTATATTATTTACTTAGTTTGTAGTTAGAAGGTACTATCTACCGTCTAATTTGGACTAAAGGACATGTGTTTCGTTATGTGTTTGAACTAGATGGACAACCTAGTGACCATATATCATAGAGGCACCGTTGAATATGATCGCTATGGATATGTTGAGTTTGTTGACATGCAAAGCGTGTCTGTGCTATTTAATGATAGGCCTTTATTTAGTGAGATTGTTGCAAGGGCTCGGGAGGAGCTGCACTGTCTTGGAGATGATAGCATTGCAATTGAGGGTGTACTGCACCTAGGTTCTCCTCCCAACATCCTCAGGCGAATGATCCCAATTGGTTGTGCGGATCAGTGGGAGAACTATGTGAGATCGGCTATGAAGAGCCAGCTGCAATGTTTGGACGTGGTTGTGCGTCGGGTGTTAATCGATCCCATCCCTCATGGATTTTCCCCACCAATGGGTCAGCAGACACACATCGACCCTCCCGTCCTGGAACCTGATATGGATGTGAAGGTTGCACCTACGGTTCCTGATGCTCAATCTGCCTGCAATGCGGTAGTTGGAGATGCTTGTCAGACTCATGTTGTTGTGGCAGATCCTCCTCATGAGATTCCTTTGACACAGAATTATCCGAGTAAGTGTCTTAACCGCATGGTTATTGGGAGCTTACCCCCTTCCTTATATCCATTTCTTTCATTCTTTCCTCATTTCTCTACTTATGTTGTAGGAGACATTCCTGAGAATGTGGATGTGCCCCCTGTTACTGCGTAAGTGCACTTTAGAGATGGATTTCGTGGCTCCAATAGTGTTGAAATTATGCATGATTCGGAGCCATATGAGATGGCAAGGGCTCTTGATTCTGATGATGATCGCCCTATTGGAGAGCTGACAGAGAGTGATGTTGAGATGCTTAGACGTATCTTTCCCGACCGCCGTGATCCAAGATTTCATGAGTTCAGCGATCTTGCTCATTCTGATCAGGCGTGTGCAGAAGGATGTGATGATGAGCTCTTAGAAGCTTCTGAGGCCGACCCTATCATGGTAATTGAGAATGGGAGGGTGTTCAATGACCTCCCTGCATTGAAGAGGTGGTTGCAGGCGTTTGCAGTTATACGAAAGAGACCTTACAAGGTTTTGTATTCATATGCGGAGCGCCGTTATATAGTTGTGTGTGACAAGGAACACTGCCCATGGAGGGTTTGGGAAAGGAAGCAAACGGTCACCGGAAAGTGGAAGATCACAAATGTTGTTGGGCCACATAATTGTGCTGACCATGAGCTGACACTGAGGCATCGATAGTTGACATCTACCCTCATTGCCAAGCTATTGATGGGGATATTGCAGGGAGAACCCAACATGAAGGTGAGGACAATTATCAGTACTAATGAGGCGTTGTATGGATGTTATGTGATAACTTATGGTAAAGCTTGGAGGGCTAAGCAGCGAGCGTGGAAGATGATATATGGGGACTAGGAGGATGGGTACGGGCAGCTGCCAGTACTTTTGAATGCAATCAAAGCGGTGAATCCAGGCATGCATTATGAGTACATCCCAAAACCAAATACATGGAAGGATGGGAGGTAGATATTCTTCCGTGCTTTCTGGTGCTTCCCTCAGTGTGTCGAGGCCTTTAGGCACTGTCGTCCCGTCTTCTCTATTGATGGTACGTTCTTGATTGGCAAATATCAGGGCACACTTCTTATAGCCATATCCAGTGATGTGAACAGCAAGTTGGTTCCTTTGGCATTTGCTTTGGTTGAGAAGGAGAACAATAACAGTTGGGGATGGTTCTTGAGGCTAGTCCGGATACATGTGGTTGGGCCTGGCAGGGAGGTTGACGTCATATCTGATAGGCACTAGGGCATACTTAATGCCGTGCGAGAGCAGATAGAGGGGTATGCACCTTTGCACCATCGTTGGTGTACTCAGCACCTTGCCGAAAATCTACTCCGGAAGGATGGTGTGAAGGGTAACTTTGATCTGTTCCGGGAGGCTGCTCGACAGCTTAAGGACAAGTACTTTCAGAAAAAGTTGGAGCAGGTCAGAACCGCATCAAATGCAGAAGATAGACAATGGCTCACTGGTTTGATGAGGGATTTGGAGAAATGGACGAGAGCTCACGACGCCGGTGGATGGAGGTATGAGTTTTAGTGCAGCAACAAGGCGGAGTCATTTAATAAGTTGCTATTGGGGATACGTGGTATGCCCGTGAATGCAATCGTTTAATTCACCTTCTATAAGCTTGTTGCCTGGTTCAACGATAGACATGCCCATGCATTGAAGTTATGGAGTGATGGAGAGATATGGGCTCCGAAACCGAAGGCACACCTAGAGAAGGCAAATGAAAGGGCTGGCACACATGAGGTTACATGCTTTGATCACGCCACAGGGACTTATCAGGTCAAGCATAGGGGCGGTACAACATCCAACGGCAAGGTCCGAGAGTCGAGGATGCATGTGGTTGTCCTCCAAGATTTCAAATGCACTTGTGGTAAACCAAGATAGTACCACTTTCTTTATTTCCATTTGGTGGCAGCAGCTAGGCATTGCAACTATAATATCGAGAGCAGGATACCTCACGAGTTCAGTGCCGACACGCTTGTGCACACATGGATCCCCCGCTTCGTGCCTTTCTGGGACCCTAGAGAGTGGCCTCCATATGATGGGCTGAAGTATATTGCGGATCGAGCTTACCGTTGGAACAAGCATGGATCAAGGAAGAGGACGAGGCACAGGATGGTAATGGATCAGATACCCGGAAGAACGAGGCGTGGGAGAGGAACCCCATTTGTTACTGACCCCAAGCAGTACGAGAGCGGCAAGTGTGGTAGACTTGGCCACAATTCACAAAGTTGCCATTGACAGATTAGTGAGGTGCGATTAATTTGTCGTACAGGATGGTTGATTATATTACTTAATATTTGTCGTATTCATTTAATTAATTATGCATGTAATTGTGTCAATTACTTGTATATTTCTAAGTTCATATTTCATTGCATATTGAATTTCTAATTCATTGACTTTTTTATAGGATGGCGCAATTCCACCTGCTCGACCCGATGTACGAGGAGACCCACTGAGGATGTCTCATAGCGTAGGGGCATGTAATAATCTATATGTTTTGTTCAAATTTTGGTGAGCGTACATGTGTTCGTGAAGTAACAGGAGACTATGTTTTATTCCATGCAGGGCCTTCCGCTCCTTCGTCCTAGAACCCATAGTGGGTTCTTGGACATGCGGTACGACGATAGGTACACTCCTTTCCTGCAAAGAGCTGGCCTGGATGTCATCTCTTTTTAGGTTCATCGTGGGTTGCCCAAGTTTAACTCAGCGGCCATAATTGTGTTGGTTGATAGGAATTATATTCAATCATTGCCTCCATTCATGGCCATTTGTTCATGCGCTTGCCTTCTTGACATGTAATATTGATTTGTCTAAAATATAGGTGGTGGCCGGAGACTCACAGCTTCCACCTACCTTTTGGGGTGATGAAAGTCACGCTCCAGGACTGTCAGAAGATGCTAGGCCTGAGCATTCACGATAACCCAGTTACCGGGAAGTATAGGTTAGAAGGCTGGAGAGCATGAGTGGAGGCC